ATCTGTCTGTCTATCTATCTATCCATATGCATGCACACACGATGTCTGTGTGTATGTACAGAGCCTAGCCACATATATACACGTACATATACAAGCAGAAATCGAGAAATCGAGTCGCGTATGTACATAGCTGGAGAGAGGAGAAGACTTCTGTGAGCCTGGGGTCTAAATTCACGGAACAGATCGTTTCGAGAATCATGATTTCGTGTTTGCTCAGTGGGTGTGGCATAGGGTCGGCATTGCGTTGAGGGTTTACTTTGTTCGCCTTCGAGACAACATGGCAGCAGCCCAACAGAATCCCCAAGCAAGAATTCCTAGACCATCCGATATTGATTTTCTTACAGATTCATTTTCTATTAAGTTTCATAACTGGCTTTGATGACGCCAATTCTATTGAACTATGCTTTGATTTTATGTTGGTTTTGTGCGAACGGCAAATGGTTGAAATAACACTACTATTGTTCGATTGATTTTCAACATAAAGAATCAGTAGAGCTTGAAAAATCACTAGTGTTTTTTCAATATCGGATGGTCTAGGTTTATGCCAGTTTTGGGTTTAGCGTGGTTTTGAGAATCTAGGGATTTGGATTTCGTGGGAATCCCTGAACTTGTTGAGCAGCTCTGCCGCTACGTACTTCGGGTTCCTATACGGGTTCCTACAGGGTTTGCGGGACCCGAGGCTTCGAGCTATGAGTGTTGAGGCATGGACTTTCATGTTTGGTTTAGGGGTTTACTACTTTAGGAACTTAGGAATTTGGATACCGGGCATTCGGGGCATCTCGTAGGGAGAACGAGTGACCCAAACCTGCACACGTCCCTGTTCCTACACCTAGGGTTTAGGGTTTAGGGTACTTTAAAAACCTTTAAATTCTTTGAACCCAGCAACCCGAAATTTCAGCATGTGCCCCTGATCCCAAAACTCTTAGACCCTTGCGTCCCGTTCGATCCTTTGCACGAGAACTTCGGTACCCTTTCCAGGCAGCAGCCCGAGAATTCAAGACCGCCTAGCTCTAGATCGTTTGGGTTTGGGATGTACTGTTTAGGCTCTTGAGGCACCCAAACCTGCCCAGACTGTCCTTGCAGGTGGACGCAAGCAAGATCTCCAACCAAAACGAGACCAAGAACCCAGTGCGGCTCACTTTGGATTTGACGTGGATCTCTGGGACCTTATCCGTCAAAACCCTAGCATGAACTCGGCACCAAACGTGCGTCTCCTTGTCTCCTTCGACTGGTGGGCGCGGTTTGCTAATCACGAGGCAATTTCGCATGATCGCAGTTTCGAACCCTCACGATCCGCGAGCCGTAAATTTCAACAAAGCTGAGCTGGAGTTTGGCTTGGTGGTCTCAGTGTCAAGAAATTGGGGGCGTTCGGCGTTGGTGGGTTCAGCATCAGAGGTTTCGTAAGGGTTAACCAAGCTCTATGTCTATGTATGACCTTGGCCCAAACCCAGAAGCAAAGGGTAAAGAGGCTTAGCCCATAAACGAAAGGGATCCCGAGACAGCTTCCGGAAGTATGGAATAGTCCCCCGTCCTTACCCTCCATGTATTTCAACAGCAGGGATACGGTTTCGACTGAGTTGCCCGCAAGGTCCTCGCACTCAAAATTGAGGTTGAATGTTTGAGCACTGAAGTTCCTTACAACATACCCTAACGCTAACGTCCAAAAATCTGAACTGATATGCATGTAGTATGATACAGCCCCCTCCAACCAGGTTCTAACTGTTCAGGCGGGTAGGGTGCAAGAGTTGAAGATGCCCTGAAGCCCAGGTACCAGAGCTTCTCAAGCATCTCCGGGTGCCAGGAAATGCCCCAAGCTGTCAAAAGCTTGCTTCCTCGGCCCTTGTCTGAGGAGGCCGGCAAAGGATGTAACTTGTAGGACATGCGATTTCGGCTGTGATCGGGACGTCTTTTCCGATGCCAGCCAGCATAAATTGAAAAATGCATTGAAGAACAGGACTGAGCCTCGAACAGAAAACTCAGCTTTTTCCTGAATCCCCCAAGCGTGACTTCCACAGCTCTGGGGGTACCTGGCCCTCAACCCTGAGACCCAAACCCTGAGAAGTAAGAACCCCCAGCCCAGAACAACTCAACGGTTGTGGTCCACGTCTGAGTTGTCGACTACACGAAAGTTTGGAATCTGTAAGATGCTTTAAAGATGTTTTTGGTTTTGGGCCGAAATTTTACAGCAGACCCTCACGCTTGACACCGACCGTGTACCTTAGAGCTTTGGCAGCTGTGGCTTTGTTATCCGGAGCCACAAAAGCCAATAGGTTTCCGACTGCAGCTGCTTAGGAGCCGTACACTGTATAGAGGCCTGGAGCCCACACCCCGCTACAAACGTAGACTGGCTGTAGGCCAGACTTGTGGCTTTGATTTGTTAGGGGTTTGGGTTCAGAGACCGGGTTTGAGGGCTTCGGGGTTTCCGGGTTTAGGACATTTGGCTTTGAAGTTGGGGTTCCAAGATGATGATAAGCATAATGAACATAAAGAAGAGCGTGATGATCATGATGAGCATGATATGACGAGGGTGACATGATGAGGATTATGATGAAGAAGATGATCATGGTGGTGGTGGTGGTGG